GTTGGATAAAACTAATTTGGTTTGCTCTCATAAATAATACCAAGACTAACTCAAACACCATGTTATTCCTTTAAGTAAACTTTTAGGGTTTGAACCTCTGAAGCAAAATTTTTCATTACTTTATTGCATCCTAAACAAAGGATAAAGTGAAACCAATGAATGTATTAATTATAAAGATATATTCTCCCAATAAAAACCCGTCCTACATCAGGATTGGCTTCTCATTGTCTATGCCACAATTTCTTTCACTAACTGAACTCTGAATGGCTCCACACGATGCCTCCTCCCTATGCCACCAAGTAAGATAATATCTAAATAAGATCTGATATCCACAATCTTTTTTCTTAAACAACTTATCAACTTATGTCCTGCTCACAGAAAGCAGTCCCCATCTTGCAAACTTCTTGCAGCGTCTCCATTCTTCAAATATTTTAAAGCTGATTCTGGTCTACTCAGGGTCTTTTGCCTGCTACAGCAATGATTGGTTAGTTTTTATTGGTTAAAAAATACAATACTTTTTTTCCCCTGTCCTTCCCAGTCCAAGAATTCCACTGTAGTTCAGACATAACCAAAAGTCTCATATTTTTGTCACTCTTCATCTGACCTTCATGCAACACCTCTCAGATCCAGTTCTCTGAAACTGTCAAATTACGGAAATATTTGAATTTATTTTCTATCCACTGTTCAGTACAAAGCTTAATATATTGGGCGACACTCAGCATCTACTGTACATAACTTTATCAGTCAGAACTTGGAAACACGGCACAACTTCAAATAGCCTCGGGCAATGACAGTCAGAGCTTATACTTCACTCCTATTTTGTGTTGCTGATTTTACTATGTGCAGGAGAAAATCATTTTACATTTAGTTTTTTTTTTGTTAACCAGAGTAAAGTCTTAATTCATTGCTTTGTGGTAAATATAGAAAAAGCTGAAATATTGTTGTCACATTAAATAAACAAATTTCATCAATAGTTTCTTTTATAAAGTTAGCTTTCATTAGTCTAGATGTAATCATTTTGATATTTATTACGAAACTTCATTTTGTATACACTCTGTGTAAAAGTCTAAGTCTAAGATATTAAATCTGATCATAAAAGTTAATTTTTCAATCAGTCTGTGTATGGTTAATATATGTTTGTGGCTCAGTGAACACAAAATAAATTAACTCTTTGTCACGCTTATTTTGTTTTAATAAGCATTTCAGTTTATTAAGGTGCATCTGTAAGCAAATACCAACTATTTGCATTTTAACAAGAATATTCTTGACCGTTTTGTTTACAAATGTGTAATACCTAAAGCACAAACTTTAATATTTTATCAGTACAACCATACATTTTTGAAAGTCAGAAGAGGAATTACTTTTGAAATAACATTATAGATAAAACTGTAAGTAAACCTGCTCTGGGGTTCCAGCTTCTATGACCTTTACAATACTTGACTATATGTGTATTAGCTCACCTCATTTTTAAAAGGTGTTTCAGTTCTCTCACCTCTTCCTTCCAAAGCGGATTTTTCGCTTGACCTTTACAGGCTGAGAAATCCCTCGTGTCCCTGCACTTTTGACTGGAGTCCGACTCTTTCTGTCTCTATTACTCATTGTCTTTTCCCTGTTGTTTCCAACTCTATTCAGGTTGCTCCACACTTTTCTAACTTTCCCAGGTCTCAGCAAAGCAGTCATTATTCTGCCTTTTAAAGTCGTATTGAAATCATATTTAAATGTCAAATCATTCTGGCTTAAGCATGTATATAAATGTACTCTTTAACAGACGATATTGTCCCAAAATTTAGAAAATTTCTATCTAAAAAAAAATTCCTGTCTTAAACTGTGTGTTTTTTTCCCCCGTTATCTAATGCAGGCCAGTTGGTTATGTCAGCGTGTACACCTAAATTCGGCCATTCATATGTCAACGGTCATCTGTCAATCAATTTTTTTCAGTCATATCATCTTGATTCATATGTCGCAGCTAATATACACAATGGTTGAAATAAAAAATAAGAATCATTTACTTTACCATTACCGTTATGTCCCAATGTTCAAGGGGATGGAAGTCTGTATCTTTGGCAGGCGTAGAGCTAACAAAACTGGCAGCGTTGCGAGGCAAGGGCTCAAACATGTACGGCTGTAAGCCTTCTACACCATAGAAGCTTCTGCCGCCCTGGCGTCCTCTTCCACAACATCTTTGTCTCCATTTTCCTCCTCTAAATGAAAAGACTCATCCACAACCCCCGACACAAAACTCTCCTCCTATTTGCATGTTTCCGCTGCCCATACCGTTCCTTGACAGTGTTGTTTTTAAGTCACCAATTTAGTGCCACTTGGTCCCAATATAATTTCCCATTGGAAACCTACTAGCACTAAGTTGCTAACTGGTTAGCAAGATGCTTCTGAGACACCGACCACAATCAAACTGGTTTGCGAACCTTCCGCCACAACAATCCCAGCCGCTTGACTCAAGGGAAATTTCGGAAATGCAACGGCCGTTTCCCTTAGACTTTAATCCAGAATCTTTATTATTAAGATTCAGAGGCAAAATAAAATCAATATGCCAAGGTGGAAAAGCTTATTCAGCAGAATTTCACTCAGGCTATTTAGCAAATTATTTAAATGATGTACACATGGTCAAAATTGTTGATAACTCTCATTTAATTAAAGAAAAATCCACAATGGTCACAGACATAAATTAAATCTGACAAAAGCAATAAATCAAAGAGCAAGAAAATATGAATGGTAACAAAAGAGCCCGTAAAATTTTCCAAAGAGATTAAAGATGAACTTCAACCTAAAGGAACATCAGTGTCAGATTGAACCATCCATCGTTGTTCAAGCCAAAGTAGATTTATTGAGAGATGACCAAGGAGTACACCTTTGCTTTGTGGCATAGTGTGTAAACAATCATCTGAACCTCCATGTGTATAAAACAAGCAGATGATGAGGTCAGTTAGATTTTTAAAAGACGCAGGAAAAAGCAGAATCCTATTAACACCATGGGAGAAGAAGTAGAGGTGGTGCAGAAATAGGGCTGGGCGATAATTCAATAACGATATATATCGATCGATAGACGTGTGGCGCAATAGAAAAAAAGAGAGTCGATAAAAGTTCGATAAAGAAACGCGGTTTTCCTTCCTTCTCATTGTAGCCTAGCATGTAGGTTTATGCTATTCACTACTTCCTCCCAACCAATTGCAATCGCGGACCCAGGCACGCCGTCACAAAGCGCCGCTCTCTCAAACCACAACACAGAGCACATGAAGATGTCGCAGCAAGGAGAGGTGGATGAAATTGTTCCAAAGAAGGATTTTTGTAGTTCATTTGGCAGTATTTCGATTTCGGTCATGGCAAGTCGGACAAAAAACAAACCACAGTCATCTGTAAAATGTGTAGGGAACCAGTGAAGTCTGATAACACAACCAATTTTTTTTTTTTTTTTTTTTTTTTATCATCTCAGCCGCTCACAACCGCAGGAGTACGAGCTGTGTAGGCCCCGGCGCGGCTCTCCTCCGAGGAATCTTTGGGAAAATATTTATATTTATATATATATATATATATATATATATATATATATATATATATATATATATATATATATATATATATATATATATATATATATATATATATATATATATATATATATATTCGGTTCTGGGCAGTTTCCCACGTAGTTCTAACAATTGAGAGTAAAAAAGGCTGAGGGGCCAACAACTTCAAAGTAATAACTCAGGTTAAAGCAGGAAACTAAGCTGAACCATAACGAGGTGCCAGCAGCACCTCTAGAAGAATAGAGGTGAGAAAAAATACCCCATAGAAATGCTAGGCTAAAGGGTGAGTTGATTTTTGTTTGGGTTTTTGTTCTTGTTGAGTGGAGTTTACATGGTAGCCTAGTCCTAAAATCTTTTAATTACCACAAGCTGGTGGTGTACTATTCCCACCCAAATAGGGTATTCTATTTATTTATTTGTTATATTTATTTTGGTCACTTTTCTGGTCACTTTAGTTTATTCTTTGTCAGTATTTAATAACATAACTCAGGTCTCTTAAGTTATTTTTCTTTAAAACAATTCTGTTATGGTTAAAAAAGTTGGTTAAATAAAAATTTAATTGGAAGTCTGTTTGTGTTCTTTATTAAAATTAAATCATTTAGCAATATCATAAAAAGTCCAGGCAGAGCTGCACATAAAATATGGTTTCAAATCTTTTCAATAATTATCTATATCAATCAATATGCATTTTTTTTTATCGATAAGCTTTTTTTCTATATCGCCCAGCCCTATGCAGAAATACAAATTGTTGTTTACTTGGGCAATAAACTAGACTGGAGTCAAAACTGTGAAGCCTAAAAGAAGGGACAAAGCAATCTGTACTTCCTAAGGAAGTTTAGGTCCTTTGGTGTTTGCAGCAAGATGTCCTACATGTCCTCTATAATGCTACTTTACATGCATATTCAATGGTTGATGCGCATCAAGGTGCAGGAAAAGGTCCTACGTGTCATGAGCATCTGACGTGTTGACGGGCTGCAAAAGCAGCAGCTACAGGAGTTGGAAAATTTGAATGGTTGCTGCTTGTCGTGCAACATCAACCAAATAGAGGAGCTGATCTGGGAGCTGGCAGGGAGACAGGCACAGCACTGCTTGTACAGATCGCTATGATCACTCATCTAAAACGATTTATTAACGCCTAAATGAACCTAAAATGTTGAAACCTGCCGGCAAAATATTTTTGATTTTATTATTCTGGTGCCTGCAGTTCGGATTACATGAGTTAAAAACTCCTTTCAGGGAACCGCTAACAGAAGCTAACCGCTTCTCTAAGTGAATCAAAACTTATTTTTGTTTATTATTTTCTTCATTTAAGTCTAATATTTATCAATGAACATCGTATCCAATGCTTAGTTTTGTTTCTCTTCATTTCTTTTCCCTAATTTTTCTTTCTAATTCTTGTGCCACTTTTTTTCCAGAATTATTGTTTCCTTTTTTTTCTTTAGCACAAAACCGACTTACCCTCTCTCCTGCTTCTCTTTACTCATGTTTTCTTTTAACTGTTCCAGCTTCTCTTCCATTTTCTTGCTTTCATTGGCCACAGTCGTTGTATCCAGTAGCAGTTTTTGCAGGTTCCTATAGCAACAAAAAACAACATGCACATATATGCAATAAGGTATCAACGATCAATCACACAAATGATCTGTTCCGTCAGATAGGACAGCGAAGCTTTTATCGATATATGTTCAATTTATCCTCTGCGCTAGCAGATCCCTGTTCTCATGGCCTAATCGATACTATAATCAATTAGTTACTGGATCAGCGTACCGCCATGCAAGGCATTTACCCAGTCAATTATCTACAGCCGTATGAGACAGGGCACCTTTTTAATCACCTAAAAGAGATTCTGCAGGATAAAGCTTATAAGCTTATAGGCTATAACTTGGTCAGAAGTCAATTTTGTTGAAGCTTTTCTCATGATAAAATTTGAATGCCTACAAATGAGGGGCAGACACACAGCACGGTAGTCAAGGAACACTAATAGGCTTCTAGTGAATGTCCTAAATCACATTATTGATCTCATCTTACCTGGCATTGTGCTTGAGAGATCCGGTCTTGTTGTTAGGAACCACAAAGTCATTTAAATTCATGCCTCTTATTTCCAGTGGCTGCAGTATTTCACCGAAGCCTTTCACTGCACTTTTGCAAAGAAACTCTCCTTCAGCAGAACAGATATAGCATAAAACATGCAATCAAATATCTGCCGGGGTAAAACGCACACAGCAATAAATGAATAAGGACACAATGAAAAGAGTAAAGATGTTTCATGAAAAAGAGATTTAACATTCAGGTCATTTTTAAAAAATGCATATGGCAGATATTAAGGTTTTCTATATTTATTTAGACAGATAAAGTCAATTTCACTGAGGGGCAGACACTGTGTTAAACTAGCAAGAGAGACCCGTCTGCTAGAAACATAAATGGTGACATTTTCCCGGCAAAATATGGTTTCTGGGGTCATCTGAAGAGGTTTTCAGAGACAATAGGTGATCATCTAATTAATTGTTAATACAGGTGCTTGTGTTAAAATTTCATTTTAAACTAAACACACGCTCAATTCAGGTCATATATTTTAAAACCTAACCCTAAAACTAAGCAAGATCATGTTTAAATTCTCAATTTTTCTATTTAAAATTATAACGTTTTTGTTGTTAACTTTTTTGAGTCACAACTTTCCATATGTTCTGATTCACACTGAGAATAAAAAAAATATTTTTTTCCATTATTCATAAGAAAAACAATGCATATCATTAATTTTATGCTACACTCTTTTTTTTGTATTTTCACATCAAAATTGCGCTCCGTATTACATAAATAAACATAAAAAGTTACTATATTTCAATAATTCAGTACAAAAAGTGAGTCATAATATAAGTAGTATTTTTATTTATTTCGGAAAGGGAAATATTTCACTTTTCCCTTAAGTATTAATGATTGAAGCTCAAAATTAGTGAAAATACACCAGATAAAATATCACAAAATAAAAACCTTACATAAGATCAATATTAAAAATATAAAAAAAAAAAATAAGAAATGTTAGGCATCTGAACAGGATGTTCATTTATTTTCAAACAGTATTTGTTTTTCCTTTTCCTGTGCTTGTTTTTGCATGTATTACAGTACACTGTAGTATAGCATGGAGGCATTCAGTCTCTGGTAGCTACTGCTAAGGTGCAATAGAAGCCCAGGTTGCTTTGATAGCAGCCTTTAGGTCATCTGAATCATTTTCTTTCATCTTCTACCTGATAATACCCTTTAGATCTCCAAATGTACTTTTCATTTTATACCACTGAGCAAAGTCCAATTCTTTTTGTTCTCTTTGGCTGAGGTAAGACACTTTATGTGGTCTATTGGTTGTTAGTTGCTGAGCCATAAGGAATGCAACAGTTGCTGCCTGTTTCCTGAACAAGTCTGTCTCTGGTGGCTATTTAGCAGTCATACCAACCAGTTCATGCTGTGTGATTTCCCCCAAACCTTTAAATTAACACTGTCTCATAATCCTCTTGAAAGTGTGGTCACCCTTGTGCCTATACCTTTTTATATCCCACTTTTCATTTTACGAAACCTGCCATCAATTTCCCTGAATTCACCATTCATTTTTTATGTTTTCTGTTTAAAACATCTTCAAACTTTCTCAGAAAATATATATTTTTAATTTTTATTAACTGAAATACAGATACATTAAAAATACATAAAAACAACTGAAATGACTGTTTTTATATATATTTCTTTTTACTAATTTTCAAGGCTGCACTTTAAAAAAAAATAATTGTCCAAAGAGCTGTTCTAAACGCAATGTGTTTTTGTTTTACACTTGTGTAAACAAAATGACAAATAAATCTGTCTAAGTCTACAGTATCATGTAGGTTAAAATAGATAATTGTTGTTGAAACGGAAAAAAAAAATATTATTTGAAAGAACCCTAAAAAATAAATAAAAGGGAAATTAAACATTTTCAACAAATAACCGTTAACGTTAAATTATGGTCAGACAGGGGTCACCCTGAACGTTTTTCAGGTAACACAACATTTTTACCGAGTTGCCTGCAAGGAAATATACCCCATTTTGAAAAAAGATAAAGCACAAGTTTGTTCAATTTCTTTAATAATCTGTTTCCGAAACTAAAACCTAATCATTAATCTTAATCCTGCCGAGAGACGGACGTTATCCCAGCTACACCTCGATTAAAAACAAAAATTAACACTTTAGACAGATTTTATTTTTCATTTGTTTACACAAGTGGAAAACAAAAAGACGTTTCGCTTGGAAACAGCTCACTGGACAATTTCATCTTTTTAAAAGTGCAGCCTTGAAAAATAGTAAAAATGACTGTAAATTTACACATTCATTCATTCCTTGACACGACGTACACATTATTTTTCTGAATGTTTGTTTTTGTATCATGTGTCGATGTAAAGCTGTGTTTACTTACGTTTATATTTACCGTATTTGAGTATAATTTCCACCGACAGCTCCTGTTTCCAAACGCGGCGTTTCTGTTGGGACGTAGTCACCATGACAACCGAAGCCGGAAGTTAATTTGCGTGGACAGCATACGCGCTGATATGAACTTCTACTTCCCTACGGGTGTTCGATGTCTAATCCTCAGTTTAGACAGATTATTACTGCGTGATTTTCTTTGTTTAATAAATAAGCATGCATTTCAAAAGCGTCCTTGATGCCTAAATAATCATGAGCAGTGGGAATTCATCGTAAATTAGGCCTCCTCGTAGCATCAAGATCAATTTAATAGCACTGACTCAAGCTTTGAACCTCACTTTTTCCTTTTTAGTATTCTTTTGGAGTTGTTTTGATTCATTGGAAATTAAAGTCTCTTGACATTTCACGTTGACAACTTTTAGAGAACAGAGGTAAAATAATTTCCCATAAGATCCAATAAAAATGCTTAGGAATTAATTTCAAAGGACCAAATCTAAAACTTGTGTCCATTAGAGAGTTTGTCTGTAGGGAAACTGCATTATGTATTTTTTCATAAACTTGCAAATTAGTTTGACTATTCCTGACTTTATGCTGTATGAAACATTTTTGCTTAACATAAAAATGTAAAACGTTTCTTTTTTTTTGTCTGTCTTAATTCTATTAAAAAATAACAACAAGAAAGAGTCCTGTTATTAATTGGCAAAGGATCTTCCTTTAATTACATCTTCTAATGATATAATAACACTCTCAGCAGGAGTTCATTGAACCCCCACCTATATAATTAACAAAAAGAAGTATGAGCTGTATACCACAATCAATTTCAAATACAGAAATTTGTTACACTAAAAGACATTTTGTTTATTTTCCTCAAATATTCTGAATAAGTTTTTTAATAAATCCATCGTCTAACACCATAATTTTCTGTATTTGTTAGTGCAAATCCTCCATCCATTTGAAATGGACTGATCTGTCATATTTTATCTTGATTATAATTGCATTATTGATTTAATAGATAATTATTTGATAAGTATGTTTTTCTCTCAGCCTTGAAAAGTTATCAGGATATGAGTTTTAGCATTGTCCCTTGGATGCACATATAGGGATTTGGCTTTATTTGTGTTCCAGCACAAAGAAAACATTCAGACAACTGCAAAAGCATTGTCAAGCTGTGCCCGAGCTTAACACTTTCTTTCAGCCCTGCAATCTTTATCACATTTCATCCACAACACAATAATGGCCCACCAAGCACACGTCCACATCATTCCTGAATCGTGCTTTCTGTCCCTTCCCCTTTGCCTCTCTCCCTCTTCCAACGTTAGTGGCATATGACCTATTGCTCCTGCCATCAGGGAAGTGTGGGTATATGACTTATTGTGCGTGCCTGTGAGCTTGTGAGTGTGGATGGTCATTTTGGGTTGTGACCCTCCAGCTGGATTCTGTCTATGCTGCTAAACAGTTACTCCCTCCCTCTCCTGTTCTCTGTCAGATCTGCCTGAACAGACAGCCTGGCGTGTAGCGGCATACCGATGAGTAGAAAACTGAGCAGAGAGGAAGAAGGGGTGGTATGAGAATGGTGCAAGGGGCTGAGAGCGAGGTATGTGGGGCAGGCATTGTAGGAAGCCAAAAGGCACATGAAAGAGTGACACAAGAAAAAGAACAAGGGACCGGCATACTGCATGAAAGGGAAGGATACAAAAACAGAGCAGTTGCAGGAAAAGGACAAGCACTGTAGTGTGAAATGTCAGGGCTATTTAATTCATTAGGAGGCAATGATCACGGCACTGCACTGAATGTCATCTGTTGGGTTAAATCTTTTTTTTCAGACAATCCAAATGCAGGGTACACAGTATACAGACTTCTTTTAAATGATTGGAAACCTTTAAAAGAAGGCACAGTCCTAGCAGTGAGAATGAAAAGAAAGTAATTACACAGCTGGAATCTAAGTAATTTCTAGAACTTCACAGAAGATAATTATGGACATTTGTTTTTCTTTTAAATGAAGAATTAGAAAATAACAATGAAAACTTGGGATTTTCCATGCATGTATTTGCCTGCTGCACTGGTATTTGAAGGAAGAACAGCAGCAGTCTCTATTAGAATTCAATGTCAGACAGATGCACTTGTTCAGGCAGCTGTGATTTTTCCATTTCCTTCCCATTTTGTGATATTTTTCCACTGATCACATTTTTGGACTCCAGATAGACTCATACAAGGTAGACATGAGGAGAAGAAAGCACGGAATTAAAATAAATTAGATTTAAAAAAAAAAGATGTTACTTAAAGTTGTCTGAGGAGGAGGAATCATCTATGTCAGAATTCATAAGGATCAAACCAAAGAAATACATATATAGCACATCTGAATAATAACAAGTTATTATGTTGTTTCATATGTCTTTACTTACTGATGTTTAGGATGCTTTATGTTGTCTCAGTTTATTTTTGTTTTATGAAAATAGATGCTTATTTCTGGCTCCTGACATCTAGAGAGTTTTTTTTATTTCATGCTAAATGAAGACTAAAGACAGATTTCCCTAAATGCCAATGGCACATTTATCTAAAACTGCCATATCAAATTAAAGTGAAGTGCTTAGATAGACGGAAATAATTTAGGCCTAAACAAACAGATATCTGCTCACATTACCTTAGGTTAGGGTGAATAAAGAAGAAAAGATCATTTTAGTTTTTAAATTAAATTCTGATTGTAAAAGCAATGTGAAAGCTATTTATAGCTCAACTTTAATACCTTGTAGATATCTAGGTATGGAAATAGCTAACTGGTCAGCAAGTTAGATGTGCTAGAGCAGGGGCCATCATTGTGGTGCCCACTGGCACCAAGGGGCACTCAAGAACCATATGGGATGCTCTCAGCGTCTGAACTTACCACTGGGTTCAGTTTGAAAGGGTATTTTATTTTGTCATTTGTTTGCAGTTATTTCCTCAAATAGTTGTGCTTTTTCTTTAGTATATTGTTTAAAATCATTCCTTTGATGCATGGTTGAAAAGCAATCTGAATTTAATTTCTTCATTTTTATATATTTTTTATTCATTACTTTTGTTAGATGCAAGCTATTTCTGTGACTGTTGTGTTTTTTTCTTTCATTAAACAAGGGGTACCAATAATTTTGTCCACGCAAACCTGAGAGCCCATTTTCCTGTTCGTATTTGCCAAGCACCCCTCCTACTCCTGTTTATGCAGCAGTTTCTCCTTCTTTGTCGAGAACCATGTATTACTTTGCAAAACAACCAATATAAAATGACTAAAGATGACCCTCTGCTTGGTTCCATACAATGATTAATAGACATTGAGGATGGGCACCAAAATGTTAATTTATTTTACCAAGTAAATATAATTTCATTACAGGTGGCATCCCAATTCAAACAACAGGAATTGTATCAATTTTTTTATGTGGTGTTAAAACTTAAATTATTTAAAATATTAAACTACCATAAAGTTACCAGCCCATACCGATTACCTCTTTTTTTTTTTTATGAAACATGTTAAAGAAGCTTGAACAGAACTGGCTTAACTGTTGATGCTATATTCATCCACCCATTTGTTGTCTTATATAAATCAAAGATTTTTTTCACGAAGGTGAGACATATAGAGCTCAAGGTGTCTGAAAGGCTGATTCCATAAATCTTACTGCAGAATCTTTAGTCACAATGCCAACATAGAGAAGTAGACTCATTAGTAAACAAAGAGATTTGCCTCATAGCTAAGCTTTTTCCTCAACACACATGAGTGATGCAGTGCCTGGATCAATGCACAAATGGCCTGCAAGCCATCTCCTGCTTCAAACTACTGCCATTAGTTGGAAAAAATCCAAGACTTTTGAACTCTTCTTGGTGAGCCAGAGACTTATTGTGCAACTGGAGGGCTGTCCCCTTTCTTGTGGTTGAGAGCCATTGGCTCAGGCTGACCGAAGCTGACTCTTGTCCTGGCCAATTCATTCTTGGCTGTAAACCCCCCTGAGGGTCATGGGTGAAAAATGCCAATAGAAACTGCTTCATCTTCTAAAAGAAAAACATAAAAGCATTTGGTTCCCAAACAAAATATAATGCTCTTTATGACAGCCGTTGAGTTTAATGAAGACAACAAACAGGATCAGTGAAAGGATCGCCTTGGAAATGTATATATAATCTGTCTTGGTTGTCTGGGTATGCTGCAACGTTAATTAAATAAATTTTGGCTCAATATATATATATATATATTAGGGGTGGAACGGTTCATAAAATCCATGGTTCAGTTCACGGTTTCATGGTCACGGTTTTCGGTTCGGTTCGGTATATGTTGATTGTTACACCGAAAAATAAAAAAATTCATAAAAATTATAAAAAATTAATGAAAAAAATCAAAAAATATTTATGAATTGTAATTATTTTTAATGATCCGTGGAAACAATGGATCATTTCCGCATGTTTTGCTGCTTTGAATTTAATCATCTCGCGCATGCCCTCTACGATCTCCAAGGAACTCAGAGCGGAGCAGACGGGAGCCACAGCGGAGGCTGTAGGCTTTGCTTTGTGCAGGCGGTCTGGGGCTCAGCGGGGCGGAGCGCTGACGGAGTATGTGGGATTTCGGGGTTAGCATGACATGTTGCTGTTAGCATAAACAAAACGTGTTGCACAATGCTTGCACACTGTTGCACTTTTATCCACAACTTTCCTTCCGCCGTCATCATAGGTCACTCTAAATGCAAAGCGGTCAAATACAGCAGACCTATAAAGTGCTGCTGGCGCGTCTTCCAACTCCTGTTCTTTCCCACTCGCCATACCCACGCAATTCTTCACAACAACTGATTTTTTTCTGCTACACCCAGCTACGCTGCTTTGCTTCTTCTTCTTCTTGTTTACTAGTGGTGGTTGGCTTTGGTCGCAGCACCGCCACCTTCTGCTCTGGAGCGTACACGCTTCGCCTATGAGAAAAAGGAGCAGCGCATGAACCAAACGCAACACACGCGAACCAAACCGTGACAGTCGAACCGAATGGTTCGGACGGTTTTCATAAACCGTTCCATCCCTAATATATATATATATATATATATATATATATATATAT